AGTATAGGTGTAAGTCATGTATTTTCAGCTGATATCAAACACTCGCTCTCAATTTAGTATAGGTGTAAGTCATTTATTACCAACTGATATCAAACACTCGCTCTCAATTTAGTCTAGGTGTAAGTCATGTATTTTCAGCTGATATCAAACACTCGCTCTCAATTTAGTATAGGTGTAAGTCATTTATTACCAACTGATATCAAACACTCGCTCTCAATTTAGTCTAGGTGTAAGTCATATATTTTCAGCTGATATCAAACATTCGCTCTCAATTTAGTCTAGGTGTAAGTCAAGTATTTTCAGCTGATATCAAACACTCGCTCTCAATTTAGTCTAGGTGTACGTCATGTATTTTCAGCTGATATCAAACACTCGCTCTCAATTTAGTCTAGGTGTAAGTCATGTATTACCAGCTGATATCAAACACTCGCTCTCAGTTTAGTCTAGGTGTAAAGTCATGTATTACCAGCTGATATCAAACACTCGCTCTCAATTTAGTCTAGGTGTAAGTCATGTAGTACCAGCTGATCAAACACTCGCTCTCAATTTAGTCTAGGTGTAAGTCATGTATTACCAGCTGATATCAAACATTCGCTCTCAATTTAGCCTAGGTGTAAGTCATGTATTACCAGCTGATATCAAACACTCGCTATCAATTTAGTATAGGTGTAAGTCATGTATTACCAGCTAATATCAAACACTCGGTCTCAATTTAGTCTAGGTGTAAGTCATGTATTACCAGCTGATATCAAACACTCGCTCTCAATTTAGTCTAGGTGTAAGTCATGTATTTTCAGCTGATATCAAACACTCGCTCTCAATTTAGTCTAGGTGTAAGTCATGTATTACCAGCTGATATCAAACATTCGCTCTCAATTTAGTCTAGGAGTAAGTCATGTATTACCAGCTGATATCAAACACTCGTTCTCAAGGTGTAAGTCATATTACCAGCTGATATCAAACACTCGCTCTCAATTTAGTCTAGGTGTAAGTCATGTATTACCAGCTGATATCAAACACTCGCTCTCAATTTAGTCTAGGAGTAAGTCATTACCAGCTGATATCAAACACTCGCTCTCAATTTGGTTTAGGTGTAAGTCATGTATTTTCTTGATGTATCTTATATTGTATTATTTTTCACCGTCTGACAGGACCACAGACAAAAAACAGTTTTATACTTATTGTGAAATCCTGTTTAAATATATTATTTATTTCTATTATTATTATTATTACTATTATTATTATTATTTATTATTATTATTATTATTATTATTATTATTATTATTATTATTATTATTGTTGTTGTTAGGCCTAATAAATATAATATTATTATAAGTTATTAACCACTGCTACCTATCTAGTAATAATATAAAACGATATAGAAAGCACTTTCAATTTTATGCAGTAAACTCCAAATAGGAGAAAACATAAAAATCCACATTATTCCAATAAAATAAAGAAACGGCAAAACATCTATAAAATGAACATACAAAATATCCAATCCGTTTCCTAAATAAATTGAAATCGATTATTTCCACTTCAATTTCAATTCATTCACACAACCTCCTAAAAAGTCAATAAAAGTGAAGATAATAAACAGAAGCTCACGATAGTTGCATAGAGTTGATTAAAGTACATTTTGTAGGGAAGTGCTGTTCACTTGTTTGTTGAACTAACACGGATACAATATGTTGAAAAGATAGCGCATGTGCAGATTAGACTCGTCCATTTCTAAGAGTGGGGTACGTCACTCGAAATAAAATAAAATCAAACCAATCAAAGAAGAGAACTGAGGAAAGCTCCATGATCTGATCAACTGGCCACTATTTTATAAAACAGTCGAATTCATTTCGGTCATTCACTACAGTTAAGCAGGAGAATTATAATACGTGCATCATCAAATCACAAGGAACTATCGGCGTATCACTTTACTATCGGCCTATCACTTTAAAACGAGTAGCATTCATAATCATTATACATAAAGGCTTTTAAAACGTTGCTGAATATTAGGCATGGGTTAGCCGGTTATAAGGCATATGACAAGGTGAGTGCAATTGTTATTTTTTGTATTGATGATGCTGCTCCCAACCTGCCAATGAAGTGCGTAGTTAATCCGTTCTAAAGCAATCCTACTCAATTTTTGAGGTCATAATTCAAGTACAGATATGTATGCATAGCTATGTGGTGTATATATGGTGTAATAATAATGTGTATATATATATATATATATATATATATATATATATATAGGGCTATATAT